CTCAGGCCCCTTCCCAGGCTGAGTGAATCTGAAACTCTGGAATGGAAGCCCCACAATCTGGGTTTTAAAAAAGACCCCCCAGTGATTCTGACATAGATTCTATTTTATAGTCAGTGGTCTAAGGAATGATCAAGTTACCTTCTAATTATACAAGCAAAATTAGCACAAGATGTAGTAAAGAAATATTAATTTCAAATATTTTTAAATTTAAAAAAATTTGTCATTCTCAGAATTATTGTCCTCAAAGTATTCTGATATAAAGTGCTGAGTATGGCTCTAAAAGACTATGTAAAACCGACATTTTTCATGTTATGTTTAGTAAAATCCACAAAATCAATACAGTCAGGCATTTCTGAGTTGAAGTATTCGTCATCCTTCTTTGAACAGCATTTTTCTAAAACTTCAATGGAGAACCACATTATTTACATGTTAAAATTTAACCTTATCCAGTTAAGTTTTTGAATAATGCTAACTTGATCAAAGGATAACATTGTCTAGTGACATTTCCTTACTAAAGAAAGATTTCATTAAAATCTGTCTTTCCTGTATATCATTCTATACTAGAGATACTTTTACATGGTATGGATTAAGCGAATTGTAGATACTTTTGACTGAATGATTTTGAATCACGTGAATCACATGATTTATGCTGTCTTAAGGCAGTTACAGTTTAGTATTTTATTATTTCCCTCGCAGTTCTAACATTGTCTTATTGTCAAAATAGAAGATATAATCTTTTGTGATTGTTGAATCAATAAATAAAATTTGTGAAACATGAAAACAATTTTTTAAGTTTGTTATTTTTGAAATTTTATAGGTGTGTAGGTAAGTCAATGCTCATTAAAAATTTGAAATGCTGAGGGGTGGCTGGTTAGCTCAGTTGGTTAGAGCGTGGTGCTGATAACACCAAGGTTGCCAGTTTAATCCCCACTTGGGCCACTGTGAGCTGCGCCCTCCCTAAAAGAGTCATCTATGCCATTGTAGCATGAAAGCAATGTGTAACCAATGACCATGGCTGTTCCCCAATAAAATTAAAAAAAAAAATTTTGAAACCCTGAAAAAATTGGTTTTGACCTTTGTAGATGTTTCTGAGTCTACAGTCATTCTTTGTTGTTGTTTTTCCCCCCCAATAGTGGACTTATAACTTACTTTTTCTCCACATTGCTATACTGTGGAGGTTATTTTATGGCAAGGTATATAGATTTACTGCATTGTATTTAATGAATGCAGTACGTGGCTTTAACATAGTTTAACCATTGACCTAATAATGCTTGTTTAATTTACTTCCACTTACAGTAATAAATTAAGACCATTCATTTATTACTTTATTTCCTAAGGTGGTTTTTAAAATTTTATTTAGTAAATGAGAATTAGAGATAAATCTATTTCTAGGCATTTATTGGGTTGTCAGAAAAGTCATGATGCATGGTTGTGTCACATGGCACTAGTTCATTTTTGGAAGTACTAGAGTCATTCCCATCTATGTTATTGCTATGTCATTTGACAGCTGACAGTTCTAGCTTCATTCTAAAAACAAAAAAAATTGAGCGATTTGGTTGAGTTTTGGAGATTTTAC